CTCCAGGACTTATGCCCTGAAAACAAGCCTGCCATCCCTCAGCAAGCCTTAATTACTTGCTGAGAACATTACAAGGTTCTCCACCGCGATGAGGGACAATCACGCTCGCTGCGGTCACTGAGCAAGCCAGCGTTCTATATTTCCATCGCACTAAAAGGAAAACACTGGGGGAGGCCCACTCCTTGATTGGAGAAATGGGAGAACCCTGAACATCATTCTTTTCATTCATCATCTCTTAATATTTCCAAATTACATATAGTAGATTGGCAGATATGTTAATATACATGTATATATGGGGAAAATATAAATGTGGAAATAACTTGTGGTAGCCACAATTTCCTTACCCTAAGGCTGCTAGCATAGGACGGTGGTTAATTAGTTGTGACAGGGTACCACCCCACTAGGCCACTTGGAAGCAAGAATATTTTGGACAGCAAATGGGAAGGGTATTATACTGATCGTGTATCTCCCATGATCCAGAGATCACAGCCGAGAGCTGGTGGCTTATTCCCTTAATGTCTATAACAATATAAGCAAATGCCATAATTACCACTAAACACCTAAGCCCTAGGATACTACGTTTCGAAACATTTCTCTCTCTCTGCCTCCTTTTTATTCCTCCTCATCATTCTCTCTGCTTTGGAACTTTCATCCACTCTTGGTACCTTTCTTTGTCGTCTTGCTTTGTTTATTATTTTCTCACTCTCCTCTCTCCTCACCTTCTCATCACCTCTGTCTCATCCATTCCTTTGAAATCCTTCCCTTGCCGCGACAATCAACACCCTCCAATTCCTTCCTTACTCTCTCTCTAGCTCTGCATTGTTTCCTTCTTCCTCGACATGCTAATTCCTTCCTCCTTTCCTATCATTTTTCCTTCCTTTCTTCTCTCTTCTTTGCTTTTATCTCTCTTTCTTTCCTTTTTGGGTACATAATCAGACTACTTTTTCCACAAAATCATTTGAAATAATTTTTCTCTATTTGTTCATGCCAACATTGATACAGCTACTTTAATTGTTCAGTCTTCATTTTTATATTTTGGAAACTTGTTGTATTACTTTGTTTTGTTTCATCTTTGTTTTGTATATATAAAACATTTACATGGAGCTGAAGTCAAAATTATAGAAGATGCATTTGAAGATTTTAACTTCCATTGTAGATTCCTCGTTCCTCTTTTCTCCCTCACCCTATAGGTAACAATATTTTTATCAGTTCATTTGAGCCTTTTCACTCTGTTTTTCATAGCGGAGTATGTATTGTTTCTATTTCAATGCCATATTTATGTTTTCGTTCTGATATTCGATTTGGGTTTTTATACATTTTAATCAATCTTTTATTTTCGCATGTCTGGATTTTGTGTCTGACTTCTAAAGGTGCACATACCTCATAAGTGTGCATAAAGAAATCTATATCATGTATTTGAATGTTTTTATGCATTGATTATTTAATGATGGCATCATTGATCTATCAGGAATTTTTATACAATAATTACTGTGTTAGTAATAATAATACTGGCCAGGCCCTGTGGCTCATCCTGTAATCCCAGCATTTGGGTAGTCCGGTTGTTAGGATCACTTGAGGCCAGGAGATTGCGACCAGTTTAGCCAACATGGTGCTGGCACCAGCTGCACCCTGTTCTCTACCCCACCCTCATGAGTTACCTAAAGTCTAAACTACAATCTCCCAGCTGTGTCAGCCATGCAGCCTGGCTGACAGCGAAGTTCTTTCAGCTCTTCTAGGGGCTGATGGAGACCCATTCCTTCTGCTTCCTCAGACAGACAAGTTCCTCATGGACTGATCTGTAGAGGGATACATTTAGGAAACTCTATAGGAAGACCAGCTGATCTCAAGCATTTATCCAATTATTGTCTATAGATCATGGCTGAAATAGTGCTTATTCACTGCTCAGGATAAATATTGGAATAACAACTTTGCACTTCAATAAGACACCTAACATATATCAGATCTGCTATCTTTTGGACAAACTGATATTTTCGTTGACATATCAAATCATAGTACTATTGGTCTGCATGAGAATGGGTAAAAAAGTGATTGTCATAGATATGCCAACCTACGAGTTGTATCACAGGTTTTGAACCATCGCAAGCATCCCTGCTGTAATGTGAGCATCTGCAGGATCTGACGCTTGCCTTGCAGCAGAATTCACTCCATCTCCCCTCTGGATATTAGACTGATAATTTGGATCAGGTCTCAGCATGGGCCACTGGGGAAGACTACAGCCCTGCTGAGCGATGGAAGGATTATCCACTCAAGGAGTTCACACGTCCTGGCCGACATGGAGAACATGACTAGAAGTAGATTTGGAGGGTGCTCGCTGGTGGATTGTGGAATGTAAGCCTGAAGAAGCAGAGTTTAATTCTACAGAGGTATTTTCATAATGTATTACCCTGACAGGGCTCCTGGTGTTGGTCCTTAGACACTCCTGGGATGGCTCCATGGAAACATGCAGGAAACCTTGGTCACATGACATGATGCGGAGATGTCAGAGTTGCATGAACGGAGTTATGGAGGAAGACATGAAAAGACTTCGAGAGGTAGGCATGCTAGAGTGGACTTTCCCACTAAACCTGAGAACTCACTGGATAACTGTATTCCCTGCGAGAACCCAGAGAACCCTCTGAATTAGGAAGACAAGGCACGTTCTGAAATAGGAGGCATCAGCATTCTTGAGAGTCTCGGTGGACGCTGTGCCCTGTGGGGAGGACTATAGGAGATGCTGTTAAGGAATTAGCTCCCTAGAGTCAATGGAAATGATGTGATTTCAAAATAAGAGTCCAAATGGGCAGAATTAGTGTGAGAAGACGTAAAGCCAGAAAAGCAGCCAAGGAGCTCTGTTCAACAGAAATCTGGGGTGACAACTAATAAACCACAGTGTTCCTAGGGGTAAGGAAATTGGGCTACCACAATGGTATTCCACATATATTTTCCATATATACATGTATATACATATCTCATCTATATATGTAATTGGAACATATTAAGAGATGATGAATGAAAGAATGATGTCAGCTCCTCCCATTCTCCAACTCAGAGTCCTTTGAATGAAGGGGAAGGCAGATTGTCTTGAGGGAGAACCTTGTAATGTTCTAGCAAGTATATATGGTAGTGATTCTCTGAGCCTTTTCCCGCAAAAGATGGAAGACCAATTACCTGAGAAATTTATACATTTAGGGAAGGAGAATAACCAGGTCTTTCAAGGCTGTTGGAAACAGCATCTGAGCTAACTTTGATACCAAGAAACCCATATTGTCAATGTGGTCCCCCATTAGAGTGAGGACGCATAGAAGCTCCCACTCTAATGTTAGTTTTAAAGGCCCAAGTCTATCTAAAAGTGCAATCCCATAGGTGGATGGGCTGACTGTGGTGTCTACCCTGTCTCTGAGAATATCACAGTGGATGTGATGAATGGACATAAAACAAGGAGGCTGCCCTCCACTCCTGGATAGTCCAGGCAGGCTACATTCCTTTATTCCATTTGGAACCCGTATGGCTTATTCTCTTTCACTGACTGGAGCTCACACTCTGGCTATTGTAGCCTGTCTTAAATCTTTTTCTCTTGAAAATGTCTTGACTTTGAGGCAGGTCTTAGAAAATGACTCTTCCTGTCTCAAAATGCAGTCCTTCATTCTAATTGGTGAAGTGGAAGCACATGGCTGGTGTAAAGAATAAGAAAGTAATTAGGAAACAGCAGGAGAAGAAAGCAGGTAAGCAACACTTACTGTGAATAATTAATTTCTGTTTAGAAAATGTCACAGCTGATGTGTCAAAGGCCCTGGTATGCAGGAATGAGATGAAACAAATGTGGTCATGAGGAAGAGGTTTCTGAATAATGACAGAGAAGCTTGAGAAATCCAGAGTCCAGAATACTGAAGGGGAGCAGTACTGGGTTCATGTGTATCTGATTTCTTGTCTATTGGATCCTCTTTCTTCCAGAACCCTAAACCTTGAATCAGCCTGGCTCCTAGAAGAGTGTTTCTCAAAGTGAACTCCATGGACCACCTGAATCAGAAGCTCGTGAGGCTTTTAATAATAATAATAATAATAAAGTACAGGTTCTGGGAAGCACCCAACACAATAAGACAGAATCTTGGAATGAAGGGTGAAAAGGTGCATTTTAAAATAACCTCCAGAGCTGATTCTTATTCAAACTGACTTGAAAACTGCTGCGCTGGTGGCAAGAAATCAAGGGACTGTCCTGAGCCTGACACATGAAGGTATTCTGGAAAGCTGCTCACGGGCTCCCTCGCAGCTCACCAAATC